ATATATATTTTCTAATTAATAATAATCTTCATATTTTAAATCTTGATCTATTATTTCGCAAAAATAAAGCATTTTTATAAAGATTAGTCGTTCACATCAATTTTTTTTCTTTGTGAACACGGGAGAAGCAATTCCACATATTCGCGTACAAATGAAAAAGAAAGAAAAAAAGAAATAAAAAAACACTAAAAGAACGATAATCGACCAGAATATAATAAAATAAAAAGAAAAAAAAATCACAAAACAAAGGATACAGTTAATTATAGCAGCATTAATTTACCTATTGTGACAACAATAGTCGCAACAGAGTACCTTAGCATAAGCTGCTGTATCCACGTAGTTTAATCAGAATCAGCTACAACCGTTCCCTATGTTCAATGTAAATGTCCGTCGATAGTTGCTACGCGATTATATTGTTGCATCGTACAAAAGTTATACGATGTGGATTTAAGATTCGTAAAATTTAGTCGCATTGATTAAATGTATGCTTTCTATATGCCGGTAGTTTACACGATAAAAATTAATCTAACTGATAACGTTGATATAAATGTCGTAATTTGACGTTGAAATACAAGTACCTTGATTCCGTCCCTTTATGGCGCAGTTCAGTGATACCAACTTTTCCATTTTAATTCTTCCAGAGCATCCTGTGAATAACCTAACCTTTTATATATTGTAGCAACCTACCACATTTCAGTTTTATTATAATTATTGAATTTTTGGATTATATAGAAAATATTATTTTGTATTTTTATTATTGAAATAAAATAGAATAAAAATATTTAATTATTAACCATATTTTGGTTAAATATAGAAATCATTATATATATGCAAGTACTTAAGTATATATGAAAGTATATACATATTTTGGTTAAGCATATACAAAAGTTTTTAGTTTATGTGGATCTTTATAAACATAATAAAAAATGTCTGATAGACAGGAAGTGGAAAGTGTCAAAAAGAAAAAAAGTGGAATTATTTATTTATCATCTATTCCTAAATATATGAACATTACTACGGTTAGAGAAATGTTTTCCACTTATGGAAAAATTGGTAGAGTATATTTACAACTTGCTGAAAATCGTAAGTTATAACATAATATTTTTTAAGATATTTCTGTTGCAATTTAAAAATAAAAGAATTAAGGATAATCTCTTTGAAAAAATAAGATATTTGTATTTATAACAAAGTTTATTTCTACAGCGGAGAGTGGTAAGAAAAAAAAGCCGATAAAACATTTTACAGAAGGATGGGTGGAATTTGAAAGTAAGAGAGTAGCCAAATATGTAGCTACGACATTAAATAACAAACAAATTTCAATGCGTAAGAAAAGTAAATTCTTTGATGTCATATGGAATATTAAATATTTACCAAGGTAAGAAAATGCTAAGTAATTACACATCTTTATTATTTATATGTACTTTATTATTTTTATTTTATAATGTATTATTTATTAATTGCAAATTATATATTAATATTTATGTTCTTTCTTTTAGATTTAAATGGATTCATTTAAGTGAACGCTTAGCATATGAACGAGCAATTCACAAGCAAAGACTTCAAACAGAAATTGCACAAGCAAAGAGAGAAACTAATTACATTTCTAATAATATTGATAGAAGTAAGAAGTTAAGTAAAAAGAAAATTGAAGGAAACACAACAAAGTTTATTTTACCTAAAATCAAACAAAGGGACACAGATGAGGAAATTAGAAATATAAAAGGAGAAACCGAGCCCCAAAATAGAGACGAAATTTTTAAATCTTTATTTAGTTAATGTTTTTAAAAGACTGCAATAAATATTTAATGTTCGAATTTTTTATTATATTATATAAAACTAGTAATATAGACTCGTATATTATAAATATTAATATTTTGTACAAAATCAAACGATCTTATGGTTAAGATCAAATAGTACAAATAAATAATTTAATTATTTACGTTTGTACATTTCATATTTGTGTGATATTTAAGTGATAAAAGAAAAATATAATATTAATTGAAAAAGCTTTTAACTTAAACAAAAAGAAAGAAAATCCAGGTTCAGCATTCTGTGAATGGCGCATGCGCATAAACTCGAATTTCGAGATTAAATCGAAGTGCCTGTTCGTACCACCATTCTGTTTTATTTCTGTATGTGTGGTTAGGTGGTGGGTCAGTTTAGATGTGTGTAAATGTACGGGTTTCTTCTCCCATTGCCAATAATACGAGAGTAGTATCGAAAGATTTTGCAAGTTTCAATGACCTTTCTTAATTTCGCGTAATTTTCGTTCGTATAATATAAAAGTATTAGTCTAGTTTTAAAAAAAAGCTAAATTATTATCGAATAGGATTTTAAATTGGTTGGAATTCAAGTAAATGTGAACATTCATTTCGTAGTGTACTTGCCAACTTGTAAACGCATACATATGTATAAATAGATGCATTTTTCATCATGCACGATCAAACTTTCTTTATTGACATCTATGAATGATATGCAAATATCATTTTCATCGGGTACGTAGCATATAATTATTTTGGAGAAAATAAAATTCAGTAAATAAAATTGACAGTTGGTAACAGCAAGTTAGTTACATCTTCGATAGAAATTTACCTTATGGCTTAACATCTGGATTATCTCTGTGATTGTATGAATGTACAACTATGTTTATATATTTGAAATTACGTAATTATTTGCCTTTAAAGATTTTTCCTTTTTTTGTACATAGAAAATTATAAATTAAATAATAGTTTAAATTAAACTGTAGATACGAAATTCTAATCGAAAATATGTCCTCACGAAATGGCGTCACAACTATGTACTTTTGATTATACACGCTGATCCTTGGAATCAGATAATCTGTAATTTTTCTCTCTATAAAAATCTCTCGCGTAACTTGATATTCATCACATCATAAAAAATTAATTTTACACTTATTAATAAATTTATTAGCGATTTGTAAAAAAGAAAACTAAAATATGTGTATAAGATAATATTTCTTAGATTTGTAAAAAGCCATTTTTTTCTAACATTAAAGAAGATGTTATTTATACTAAAAAGTTTGAATAATAATTAAGTAATATTCAATTATTTTTCTAATATTAATAAATCTTTTTTTGTCTTTCACAGATATTTGGCATCATCTTATTACTATTTGCACTGACCTATCTCTAACAAAGCTGTAACTAAAGTATTAAGGATTGCAGATAACTCAAACAGATATTCTGACAATCCTTTATATGATCGTGCAGTAAAAAAGCAACGTGAAATGGCAGAGGAGTGTAATGAGGTTAAATCAACAGGACCATCTTCGCCAAGAAGTCCGCTCAGCAATGGGACAGGGACTAAAGCTTGTAGTCCACATTCTCCACGGCAGCCAAGGCGTATAAAGCTTACAGGACAACAATTGGATAGCTTAACTAAAGACGAATTGGCAGTCAAGTGGCAAGAACAGGACTTATATGTGGAATATCTAGAGGCCCAAGCAGCAGCCCAGGAAGGTACTGAGATCACTTGAGTGAGGCCAACTCACTCTCCACATTTCTTAACCAGATTAATGAATGCCAGAACACTGCAATCTCTCACATGAGATAAGACTCTTATAGGGACATTAAGCTTAGATCTCAACTGTTTTAAATCAGTGTATAGGATAATAATGATGTTAAACATATATATACATTATACATAAGTGTATATATATATATATATATATATATATATATATATATATACTTATATATATAAGTTTCTAAGTTAAAGGGAATTTATTTATAAATTAGTTAGAAAATTAATTAAGTATACTTTGGAGTTTTCTTCATTTTTTGGGGCTTATTAAGTTGAATCGAGCATGCTGAGTATTCCTATTATTGCTAATCTTAGTTAACTTATCTGAATCGCAATGTGCATTTCAGATATAATATTGTACATATTTCTAAATTATATCATTGACTACTTTTTTATATGTAGTAAGAGTAAAAGGATATATATTATTGTCTTTCAAGTGCATTGAAAAAAAAAAGAGAAAAAAAGAAAAAGATAATAGAAATGAGTGATACACTATATTTGTGGAAACCAGGTGACAATTTTATAGTGCAACTTGCCACATGAAATATAATTATTATGGAAGAAGTCTATACACATCATGCAAAACTTCAAGATGCATTATACTTTTTTCTAAAACATGCGTGTTCTTTTAAGGTGTATAGTGCGAATCAAAACAAAAAGAAAGAAAAAAAAAGTGATGCTGTGCATATTACGCAGATAAAATGAATTTTTTCATTTAACATCTGTATGTCTGCTTTTAATTATTTTTATTTCGTGAAATTGAAAGAGAAATATTATTTTTAATTTGATCTTATAAGTGAAAGTGCGGTGTGCTGCGCATGTTCTATAGTGTAATAAGCATTAAAGTTGGCAATGAAACATGTGTGTGCGTGTATGTGTACACATTCAATATGAAGTTTTCACTTTATGAGGATCATAAGGGATATAACATCTACCCCGATGCTAACTTTACAACCCAGAGGAATGTAAAGAATGGTCCCATGCATCCTTCGGCCTAGAAAACACTGTGCTGGTCCTGAATATTATGGTGGGTCTTGAAAATGTTAATTGATCTGGTCGCCATCTGGAATCCTTTGTGTATAATTGGATACCCTATTTTTTTAAATTTATGCATCCTCTATCTTATCTGATTTTTCATTCTATCCATTTAATATGGTTGAATGATACTGTTATAATTATTGTGTTTATAGATATGTATATGTATATATCACCTATAAGATATGTATATATCACTTATAAGATATATATATATACGCAACAATAATCTCATAATAATAAGCAAAAAAAAATCTAAAAGTATATGAATTTTTAAAAGATATTAAATGTGATTGCACACTATTGTCTATAAGTACTATCAATATTATATCTGTATGTATTTCTTATACATACTATGATGAAAATAATTGCCATTGACGAAATATATTAAGAATAATAACTCTATTATATCGTAATTAGAGTAAATATTTTAGACATTTCATTTGGACAAATAAAAACTGCTTTTATTAGAAACTTATAAGAAAATGAAAATAAATCTAAATTAGATCGTTAATGAAGTATATAGACACAGTAATATATCTTTTTCATGGAGACAATTTAATTCATGTTCTGGGATACAAATATGAAATTGATTCAGTAAAACTAATGGGCTAATAGTGTATATAGTATTAAAGTTATTTAATACTTTACTTTCATTTTAAAATGCAAGGAAGAAATAATGTTTAATAATACAAATATTTTAGTTTTATCAAAGCCATTATCAACACGCACACACATATAAATAAATTAACTAACGGAAGAAAGTTAGGAAGCTGATACTGAAACAAATATTTTTGATTAAAGATATTAAATGTACTAAGGGATATAAGATACTATTTTAATTTGCATAATAACTTTATTATCGCATGTAATCAATACAATTTACTATATTTTTATTTATTAGAACATTAACATTAGTACTCTTCGAAAACAAAAATATATGTGAACCATGCAAATGGATAGTAAAAGAAACAAATACGTATTGCAAAAGTTGACACAATACCATTTTATAGGTGAATTAGCTACATTGAGAGAATCCGAGGATAAATTCAGACAACAACATATTGAAGCTTCTCATCGTGAAAAAATCTTAGTGAGAAGGCTTGCCTCTAAAGAACAAGAACTTCAAGAATGTGTCGTATGTATTTTTCATTTAATTCTGTCAATCCTAATAATTTTGGATATAACATATGCACTCACAAAAGCATTTTATTATCCAACAGAATCAAATATCAGAGATGAAAGCAGCTCAAGTACCATCTGTTACTTCTTTGAGATCTGCTTTGCTAGATCCTGCTGTTAATCTTTTAATACAAAAATTGAGGCAAGAATTGGTCACAACTAAAGCTAAATTAGAAGATACACAGAGCGAACTAAGCGCATGGAAATTCACACCAGATAGGTAATTAATTATAGTTGTTTAATGTTTAAGCAAGATTTATTATATATATATATAATTAAATGTGTATTTTTAGTAACACCGGTAAAAGATTGATGGCCAAATGTAGATTATTATATCAAGAAAATGAAGAATTAGGTCGAATGATAGCTAGCGGAAGAATTGCTAAATTAGAGGGTGAACTTGCATTACAAAGAAGTTTCAGTGAAGAAGTTAAAAAATCTCAATCAGGTATGTATATGTATAATAAAGTATTATATTATGTTTCAGATAATGATGAAATTAAAATTAAAAAGCAATTTTATTATTTGAATTATATACTATATAATAACTTTTATTCATGTTGTATCGAATAGAGTTAGACGAATTTCTTCAAGATTTAGATGAAGACGTGGAGGGTATGCAAAGTACAATATATTTCCTGCAGCAAGAATTACGTAAAGCACGAGAGTCGGTTATTTTATTGCAACAAGAAAATACGGTATTGAAAATAAATTCTGGTGATAATAATTCAATGAATCTAACTAATGGATTGTCACCCCATACACCATCAATCAAAAAGGAAAAATCCGAGGAAAACTTAGCAGTAGATGTTAAGAACTCAAAATTGACAGAAGGAAGTGATATGTGTAAAACAACGAGAACTTCACCGTTACTAGATAATAAATTACTTCAAAGTGAACACGCAAGCATTGAAAGAGTAGATCGGATAGATAGAAAAACAAATCAAACAGATCATAACGATGAGAGCTCAAGCGATTCGGCTGCTTTAATAATTAAAGTTGAAAATGAAGAGTTGAGTGATAGGGAAGAAGATCACGAAGAAAATCAAAATAATAAGAAAACGTCGAGGACTAAGAGTTACGATAAATACAGTGGAAAAACTAACGGGGATGAAGTATTGACTAGAGCAACTAGGGGTAGGGAAAGGACGAAAAGGGACAAAAGTGCACCTAGCAGTGACGACGAAAGGACGCATAAAAAGAAAAGAAGAGAAAGTGTTCTTTCTCTAGATTATAATGATGCTGACGATGATGCATTAGTTCTGACTAATGGTGAAACTCTTCAAAGTGATCCTGAGTGAATAAAAAAGAAATAATCTCTCAATTACATGTATACATTATCGTTTCATCGAACGTGATTTTTTAAAGAACTAATGTGGTTTACAATATAGGATTAATGTCAATTGTACAAAAAGAAAAAAAGAAAAGCAGAATTTGTACTTATTTCTTGGTAACAAAATTCTGTGCTAATTCTAATCTTATAGTATTAGTTCGTAAACAAATTATCATATGTAACTTTGTACTTCTGATACTATTGGTAATCTTTTGATTGAGTCTAATAAGCTATTCTCTCATTTTCATATTTCATTAAATCACTCTCAGTGTATATTATATTGTATTATCCGTATTTTTTTCTATCCTGTTCTATTCTATAGTATTACATTTCAATTCATTCTACTTTTTGACGTTTATATAAATATATACATATAATTGAAACAAATTTAATTTGTAAATAAAAATTTGTGAGTCACACATGATCTAAATTGTGAAATAATCTAATTACGTACTAGTTAATTATCAATGGATAATTTAGGTGAAATAAGGGTATTTTTGAATATTATTTTTTAATAATTAACCAAATTTATTTCAAAATTGCATGAAAATTAATTTATTTGTACCTCATTGAAGGAAGTAATAAAGCAAAAACAAACAACAGTGAAATAAATAAATTTTTAGGTAGCTCTTTATATACACATACCTATACATACTAAACACGCATACACACTAAATAATTATATTATTCTCATTAGTATATAGAAAAAATATCTTTACGGGTAATATATACAAATAACCCTTAAAGATAAATCTAGTGTTTATTGCGCGTGTGTATGACCTATGTTGTTCTCCATATTAAACATGTGTATGCACGCACATGTCATGTATGAATTGTGCTTTCAATTATGCGTAGGAAGATCTATTTGTTAGTCTATAAAATACTTATAAAATATATACAAACAAAAAATAAAATAATAATTAATTTCAGTTAAATAGGTTGACTTTATAAGAAAAAAAATAGAAAACAAGATACATTACAAAAATTATGCATTTGTATTTCTAATTTTGTCAGATAACAATGATAAATGTACAAAACGCGTTTATATTACTTTGTATTAACTATATGAGAAATATAAACTTCTTCTTTATTAACTTAAGAAAAGAAAAAATACACTAAAATTTGACATTTCACACATATTCTATAAAAAAATAAATCATTTCTATAAACAATACATTTTTTGTTGAGTATTAATTAAAATTAGTCTTGGGCAATATTTAATTCAATTAATGATTCAAGTTTAACTTACATCAATATTAATCATATGACATTATTAATTTAGGATGAAATATTGCCCAACAATAAGTATTAAAGTAATATATATAAGTATATTTAACAATCATATCTTTAGTCTAAAAATCTTTCAGTAAATCTCTTGTTAATAATCTTCATTTAGCGATAAGAAAACTTTGATCGCTCTGTCTACGATGCTGATATGTCAATGGCGCAACTAATCGACTATCTTTTCTTTTGTAATATTCATTAAAATCTAGTCGTACGCTGAGTAATTGCAAAGAAACGTCTTCTGCTGAGGCAAGCATTAGTAGAAATTTTTTCACTCTATCCTACAAAATAGAAAACATATTGTGTTTAAATAAAACACTTGCAGTATATGTGAATAACGAACAATATATGTTACTATAAAGTAATCACAATTTTCTCAATCCATGGTACATTCTATAATTGTAGATTATTACCTGATAAGTTCTGTATAATAATCTTAGTTGAATAGAAAGAGTATTCAAATATTTTAAAAATGCTGTTTGTCGTTCTTTGGTATCTATATCACTTGCGGTACTTCGTCCCCACGATTTTGTTTGTTCACTTATGACTTGCGTAAAATTTTCAGTAGATAATTTTGCTTCGTGTTCTTGAGTAGCACGTATAAGAAATGTTTCTACAAGATTTTGTAAATCTAGAATTGGACTATACACAGAACGTAGATGATCCATTAATTCCTAATACACATAATATATATGTATATATATATATATGTATATATATATATATTTAAATTATTCTAATTACATAATTTATTTATATTTTAAAATAGAATTAAATAATTACTTGAGATTTTTCGTCTAATAAGATACCACGTCTTACTGTATCTACGAATTGATCATGAGCAGCTATTATTTCATCAAGTGAGGATGCTTGTCCAAGTTGTTTATTAAATGCATCCCAAGAACACTCAATTACCTAAAATATTATATTTATATAATAATATAACTTATTATTTTTAATATAATATAATATATATAATAATTAATAATAATGATTAAATTTCCATTTAGCTTAAAAACTTTTACATTTGTGTATACATACAAGATTATAACAGGTTCATTAGAAAAAAAGTTAATTTTACCTCAAATAAAAAATAATATTGCAATTGATGAACCAAATGAACCATACTGCTTGTAATAAGATGAATTTGATTTTGAATTGGCAAAATTTCGGGCATTTTTCGAAATATTTTAGCCGACGTAATTTGTTGCTTCCATATTGCAGATAATATTGATTCCATTCGTTTAGCTCTCCATAATGCAAAAAATACTGTTTGATAAGTCTGACTACATGGTTCAAAAATCTGGATTAAAAGTAATGTAAGTGTATAATATATCTTTATAAGTTAATTATTTAAAAACATATGATGTATTCTCATTTTTGATAAATAATGATTACTTACAGTCCCTATAGGTCCATCAACATTATAATCCAATATAAAAATATCCCATCCCGTTTCACTATCCGAAGGTCCTAATAATCTAACATCCAAACGTCTTTGTACATCTATATCTTCTAAATTTGTACTTGTTGCTCTTATGGCTGTTTCCAATATAGATGATATGTTATGTGGATATAAAGAATTTGCTGGCTTGGCTAATTCCGGTCTAAAATAATTATTTTTTTTAATTTTTTTAAATTTTTCTAAATGAAAATTTCAATTATGATAAAAGATATATTAGAAAAATATTATTTTAAAATTAAACAAATGTTATTATATTACTCTAATAAATGCATGAGGTGTTGAATAAAGTGTCCTTGACCAAGTAGTACATAGCTTTTTATTCCTTGTAAGTGATCAAGAAGGTGACATTGTTTAGTTAGAATTTCAACAACTCTTGTAGATGTTTCTTTATAAATTGCATCCATTATTGTTTGTAAACGACCATCCGGATCCATATCAAGAAATATCTCAACTGCTATAAATACACAAACATTGTTTAAAAAAAATAAAGAATAAATGTGAAAAAATATGAAATAAATCAAACCATTATATTGGTCTTCTGTATTTTTAAACATTTCTGTTTCTCGACCTTGCCATGGTGAAAAGTCCTTACATACTTCGCGTAAGAAATTAATACTTTTTCCTGTTCCTAATATCATTTTTGCTTGTCCTTTAGTAATAAAAGAAGGCACCATTGTATTTCTAACTTGATATTTTTCATGCCACATTCTATCTCCAGCTACATCTGCACATGTTTCAATAAAAAACTCATTGTACGGATCATCCAATTGTCCATCCGTGATCCATCTCATTAACATATTATACAAAGGAACGCAGACACTTTCCAAAATTCTTTTCATTAATTTCTTTGCATTTGCATCACCATGATAACTGAACTCGTATATAGTTGAAGCTAGTAATCCTCCTTTTTGGCCTTGACAAGCTCTTGTCACACTTGCTAGCCACTTCAAAGTTTCCAAAGGATCGTATGCCCAAATATGTAAATGTGAAAGTGTAATTCCATAATAACCCAGTTGATTTTGTGCCCTAATATGAATTCAGTCATTTAAGAATGGCATGACAAACAAAAATTTATAAAACTTTAATACCTGTTTACTTCTTCCTGCATTATAGCGATAAACTTATAATATTCAGATAATTCTTTCTGCAATACTGCAACAAAACTTTCAGCAACTCTGCCGATACCAGCAGCAGATATTCTTTCTAAACTTCTACGTAAAGTGTTATACAAATATCCAAGCTCACTCAATCTCAAAACAGCTTGCTTTTGCGAACTACTGATGTTCACTACAGGGTCGATTTGAAATCCATAATTAGAGTCTAATTTTAAAAATTTCCCTTCTATACCTTGAAAGCAATATATTAAATCTTGAATCAATACATCTTCGGAAACATATTCTTCTCTTAACATATTGTTCTGATTTATAAGAGAACCACGTAAATTTGTATCCATAGTATTTATCGAAATCACTTGTCCCTGATTCCATGACGACTGAGATGGTTGTCCTAATTACAAACCATTAAACAATTGTATTAATTTATAAAATCAATTTGTAAAAGATAAGATAATAATTAACACATTAAGCGCCAGTCTCACGTTAACACGAGATTCTGAGTCTATCGTTTGAGAAATGTTGCGGAATTTTTTTACTTGTATGAGTGAATTATATAATTACATTTTTAATTTACATTTTTAATTAAAAGAACAAAACGTATACGATAATTTGAAAACAATCAAATATTTTCTTTAGCTACTCGTTCAGAAATACGCATTAAGTCCAGCGTTAGTGCTTTTGTAGCTAAAATTTGCCAGCGCGTTCAAACGTTAAATTTCTCATCTGCGCTTTAATGTGTTAAAGTATATATAAATTTGATTACCGCTAACAGACACAATCGGAGTATTCAAACTAGGTTTTATGTCTGGAAGAGAAAAAAGCTTGTCCCTTCTTTGTTCGGTTGTTTGATTCAGATTAAATAAAAACACTAGAATGCTTATACGGTTTCTCAAGGGCTATATAAAATAAAATAATGATTATATAAATTTATTTATATGTAGTATACATTTAAAATACATTTTTTATATAAAAAATTGTTAAAAATAATAATGATAGATAATAGTCCAAAAGTAATAATAACAAAGTACTAAATTTCAATTGTAAAGTGTTCAATTACCCCGGTTCTCAGATCATTGTGCAATTTGTCAAATCTTATGGCATCTTGTGACGACAATTTACTTCTTATAGAACTAGCAACCAATATTTCATCTTCCCTCAACGTTTCTATTCCTTGAATAGATGAAAATAACTCCAAGGAGAATCTCATAAATCTTCTAATAACTTCTGTAATTGACATAGACAATTATAAAACAATTTTCTTTATAATGAACATAAATAATAAAAATTGTATTGTAATATAAAGTTATTGTGAATTACTTTAGTTTAATATAAATATTAAGATAAAAATATTATTTATTGTAATAATATATAATATAAAGAATGATGATAATATAATAACAATATTAAATCAAACGTTTATAATATTATAGACCTAACCTGGCTTCTGTTCCCCAAAAAATGAAATGACCATTTTCTGAACAAGTTCAGCAACATTTTCTTCTTCTGAACCATTCATTTTGAAAAAGAAAAAAAATAAACAATTCAAATTATTAAATTTTTGTAATTAAGAATGTTAACAATATAAATGTTATTTGTTTATTTGGCTTTTGAAAGATACAATGCAACTTAAGACTTTTCTCGCGCGCACATGTGTGTTATTAAAATCAAAATAATAGACTAATATGTATTTTTTTGAATTACAAAGACTAAATTTATTAAATAGATTAACTATAAAAAGTAAAGAAAAGAAATAACTTTAAATGAAGAGGAAAATGTATTAAGATAATTTTCAAAAATTATTAAAAATTATTGAGTTTTGTGACATTTTGAAATGTTACTAATATTCCCTCCACGAAAGTATTTTTAAATCGAATTTTATTAATAATCAAGATATTTTTATATTTATTCGATGCAAGTTGGTAGTGGTTGTTTGTATTTCCATTTCAAAAAATACGTCAGTAACATGCAATTGTACAAAATTTGTATAATATTATTTGATAGGGAATTTATGTGATTAGTAATCCAATCAAAATAATGTAAAAGGTAATATATTGGTAAAAAGTCAAAGGTCAATTATCATAAGTAATTATTATTATGGTAGCACTGATCTTTGTGAATATCTTCAGTCTGTCATTTAAGTTTGTGAAAAACTTCATATTTGGGCAAAGGGGTTGTGGAATTTTTATCGTTACCCCACTTAGGTAACGTAATGTTTTTTCTCTAGGCAGAATTAACAATGGATTATGGTTTATTGATCGAAGTAATAAAAAAATCACACTATTCTTTACAATTGTCTAATTTCAACAATGAATTAAGTTGATATTTTGTATGAGGAATAACCTAACGTCATGTCTATATTATAAATGATGATTCTATATAAATTTTTAATATTACTTCTCTTTTTATTTTTACAGACAATTTATATATTAGATATACAAATTAATGTGTTCTAATAGAAATAAATATGAATTTTACTGATTTGTAAAACTCATTTGAATTCACTGATATACAAAAGCATCTCTTCAGCGTAAATTAAAATACCATGGCTTTTAGAAAAGGAAAACGAAACTTGAAATTGCAAGTTCCTGATGAAGCTCTTGCTCCAGTGTACGTAGTAATATTACTAGAAACTAAATGATATTTATAACAAAAACAAAAAATATCAATTCATATCAATTCATATAGAATTTGTTTTATTATAGGACACCTCCAAGAAACTTAGATAAAAGAACTACGATAACTATAGGTGAGAAAACATTTGTCGTTGAGGCTGATGATTTAGAAACGTTGTGTATACTTGGACGTGGAGCGTATGGTGTTGTCGACAAAATGCGACATAAACAAAGTGGTACCATTATGGCAGTTAAGGTAAAGAAAAATACTAATAACTTATTTTCATTGATATATTTTTGAACTAAATAAGTTTTTATATGTGATATAAATAATTTAAGATACTTTATATATACATTTATATATACATATATATATATA